ATTTGAATATCCTAGCTAGTTGTCTGCGTAGAGGTTAGTGAAAAAATAACAAGGGAGTAAAGCATTTCTTCCTCACAGCGGGATGTGTAGGCGGCATTTTGAGATTTGGTATATTCCTACCCTTTCGAGGCGTGAGTCCCAATACAGCCCCGGCTGTGTCTTATCAAGCTTGGCAGAGGATGTGGTTTGCTTACCCTTTGATTCTTTCGAGGGTAGGGGCATTGATGCCGGCGATGCGCCATATGGTGAAGAATTTCCTCTCATTGCGTATTGCTTTCTGTCGACTTATTTTAGTTTTGCCCTTTGCGAGGGGTTTCATGCTTTTGGCGAAATGGGACCGACGCTATCTCCGGGTGGTGTGCCGGTGGTCGTCTGAATAAGACGTCCGTGCTTTGCCCCTCCTCCGATGGTACAACTCGACGTCCTAGCCCGAGCTCAGACGGGTTGTATCAATAGAATAGCCTTTGTGGCGATTCGTCATTTGGAATTCTCTAGGGATTCGGGATGCGGGAGTGATTTGGTTAGTTAGTCCGGACCGCCTTATTGACTTTGGTCCGACATCGTTGTTGTATGTGATCGAACCACCTGAATTCATGAACACATGTTTTATTTGAAATAGATCATATGAGGGAGAGGGTTACCAATGCGTCAGTGTGATGCCAAGGCGAAATCTCGATGTCCTTTTCCCTGGATGTAAGGGTGTCCACTGGAATAATTCCCTGGACGCGTCTTTTCCTGACGGCGAACATTTTCACTTTCCATTTTATGAGTCCACGGAGGGTGTCGCCACTCCTTCACTATCGTGGTAATACATCATGGCTTGTTCGCTTCATTTTTCTCGGTCGCCTTCCTTCTTTGGGGCTGAACTCGAGCCTGGCCGCTCGATGGTACTCGGCAGTGATTTTTATTGAGTAGCACAGCTGTTGTCTTTCTGAGTTGGTGGCCATTTTTCATCACGCGGCCGCGCGCGCCCTGTGGTTCCTGCTCCGGGTCGTGGTTCCTTTGAAGGGGTCTTGGTCGAATAAGCCTTAGTCATTCAGCATCCCTGGTTTTGCTTATGGTGATCACGATGTTTGGTATGGTAATGTTGAAATCGTGCTCCACTGGGTGGGGTTCCTCGAAGATGCTGCCCTCGAGAAATTTTCCTACCGTTGCGAGGTAGGTTGCATCTTGTGGCGTCCCTCCCATTCGCGGTGCATGGATGGTACCTCCATCTGCTTGGCATTAGTTTCTTTGCTGGGGGCCTGCCTGGGTATACCGGGCCCGTAGAGGCTCCCGGACGATTGTCTATGGCCTTGATTCGTGGCTGGTGCCGGGTACGGGCATTCGGCCAGGTCTCGGCTAGATATCTAACTAAGCGGCCTTTGAAAATACCTGGAGTCGCTGGCATGCTTCGTTTAAACTTCGGGCGAAGGCCTGGGTTATCCAGTCATCCGAAACTGGGAGCGACCTCATTCGTCCTATCAGGGAATGAAACGCAACTTCCTGTAGTATTTTACTCTCTCTTTGTTTGGCCCCAGGTGTGCCGGGCTCTTCCGTTACTGCTTCAATGGCATCGGTGTGTGCTCCTGTAGAGGGATCTGCTGATATGGTAAGCGAGTTTGTGAGGTCAGGCGCTAGGCTGCAGCGCCTTATCATGGTTTCTTTTGAGAGTGTTTCCCCGAACTTCTTCAACGGGACAGGCTCGAACTCATCATCTTGAAGGTCGCTTCCGTTTTCCGCATATGTGTAAGTGGTATTGTGCTCGCCGGGATTCGAGGTCCTATTGCACCTAGGGAGTTCCGGCATTCCGTATTTCTGTGAAGCGGGTTTCGGGACCGCTTCCCCGGGAGATAATTGTTGCATGAGCCTCCATGAACCTGACTTGATTCTCTTGGAGAGATCCTCCAGCGTCTTCGTTGTGGCGGGGTCTGTTATCGATCTGTTGTTGCTTGACCTTTCGGGTACTCGTTTGGCGCAGGAAGTTGCTTCTTGCGCTACTGTGCTGGGAGTCTTTGAATGGCTCTACAGCTAAGTAATAGCCAAATGCTGTTCCTACAACATTTCAAAAATAACATGAAGGTTAACTTCATGTTCTTCCCAGGCCGTGGTTTTTTGAGCTTCCTGTCGGTCAATATGTTGAATGCTCCCATTGGTGTGCGAGGCCTCATCGACCTTCTACGCGCCTCGCGAACCTGTGTCCGCTGGAATTAGCCTAGATGCGTTATCGGGGTTCCACGACATCGTGCCAACCACTAGAACAACCTTACCGCTTCCACCGTGATTTTTGGGGTATTCGCTCTCGATTTCATTTAACGAGCCAGATATTTTGACCTGAAATCAAAAATCTTTGGACAAGAAAAAGTGTGAAAGATAATGTGCGTTTGTGAATTGAAACTAACAAGAAAATAATCACTATTATTTTTAGCCCTACGGTGGGCGCCAAACTGTTTACAGTGAAAATGGTAACAATAATTAAATTTGTAAATAGAATTTTAAAAATATGTGATCTATTCCCGAGCTAGTTGTTAGAGCAGTTGATGCTAATAATGTGGATTTTAATAATGAAATGCAAGCTAAAACGAGATAGAAATCGGACCGAAGGGCCTGCTGCCCGGATATAGGTTTGGTCGATGGGGGACCTCGGGCCAACGTCAGGGTCGAATTCAAGCTATCAGGGATAGTCGGGGACGGGATAACAGTTGAAGATATAATTAAACAGGTCTCTTTATGGCCAATACTGAGTTATACAATGAAGAACAAGTAAGAAAACGATGGATATCAAGGTAACCTCGGGCCAGTGAGAACGAACAAGTTAGAAAGAAAAGAGAGAGAGAGAGAGAGAGAGAGAGAGAGAGAGAGAGAGAGAGAGAGAGAGATATTATTGCACTTGTGGAGAAATGGAGCAACATCAGTCTGTTACAAGGTAGTGTTAGTCCCCTTTATATAGGAGGGAAAATCGGCTACAAGTACATGGAGATTAATTACAAAGTATGAAGATGGGATGGCTTGACGTGACGCCTCAACATAGGCTCTGGATAGGCCGGCCCTGTCAAACTTAGCCGTGTGCCTTGGGAGCTTCCCCCTCTATCCTGGCTTCGATCTTCATTTTCTCTGAGTTGGGCCTCGACGAGCTCCGGGGTTGGGAACTCGGCCGTGGCTTCCTGTCCTCGGGGTCTCGAAGCACTTCTTGCAAAATGACATGAGAGCGAGAAATCAAGTTCTCTAATTTCACCGCATACACAAACATTTCCTACCCTGGACCAAAAGCCTTCACTATATCTCCACAAAAGCCTTATATAATCTTGAGTTGAATGAAGCTTACATTAGTGGTGACTCACAAAAGGGGCAAGCTTATGGTACTTAGAGTCGGACTTGTGACCTTTCTTTGAGAGAGATGAGTGTGTTTCCACTATCCTTGTTCTGAGTGCAATAATCTAAAAGTGAGGTTTGCTTAGGGAGAGTTGAGGGTGTGTGAGTTTGGGTTCCACAATGACCAAAGCAGTAGAAAGAGTTTCCCTTGATGGGTTGAGTCAACTCTTGATGCTCTTGTGTCGCACTAAATCCATGGTGTTTAGAGGGTCGAATGTTGTTAATGATTCATTTGAATTGAGGGCAATTGTTAGTCCCAATTAATTCTAGATGAGGTCACTTTAGGTCGACTGAATTTTCTTGGATTACTCTTAAGGATGGGTCTTATTTTGTTTGCTTGAGGATAAGCAAAAGCTTAAGTTTGGGGGAGTTGATAACTAGGGATTATGGTTCATTTTACACTCCTGCTTACTTGAGTTTTGATTAAAAATGTGTAAAAATAGTCCCAAAGACTTACATATTGTACTTGTTTGCAGGGTTTAGTAAAAAATGTGACAATTAGTTAAAACCAGCTCAAAAAGGAGTAAAAGATGCACAAGTACCAAGAACAAGTCCAGGTAGAGTGCAACAAGTCCACTACGGCCGCATTCCATTTGGTGTGGTCCGTAGTGAGGAGATTCAGAGAGTGCATAAATCAGAAACTCAAGCATTACAGCCGCAAAGCGCTTTATGCGGACCGCAATGGACTCACTGCGGCCGCACTCGATATTGTGCGGTCTACAATGATGGAGTTCAGAGAGTTGGAGTTTGGAGATTTATTGACAATGCGGTCTGCGATCCTCTTTTTGCGGACTGCAGAAGAAGCCATCGCGGCCGCGGTTCATTTTATGCGGCCCGCGGTGGCCAAGTTCAGAGAGCAGAGATTTAAAGCCAAAAGCTTCACCGCGGCTGCACTCGATTTTGTGCGGACCGCACTACCCCCGCAGGGGTATTTTTGTCCAGAAAATTTGGCCTAGTATAAATATTTTTTTTCCTATTGTTAGGTCATCACTTGTAATCTAATGTTCATTTGCGCTAGTGAACAGGGGTTCTAACCCATTTTGAGTAATTTTAGAGTAGTTTTATCATTGAATCTTCAAGTATTAGCTTGTAATTAAATCTTATGGGTTTTTCTTCGTCTATTTCTTTGTTTTCTTCTTTTATTATGAGTAGCTAGACTCATTAGCTAGGGTTGTGGCTCAACCCCAGTGTGAGTATTTGATGGGTCTTGAGTTTTAAGGCTTGAATATCTATGGGTGTTTGATATTTGGAGTAATTTGTGTTTTTCATATTGAATTAGTGGTTGCAACACTACAGAAAATTTGGGCTATGGCAACAGATCTGTAACCGTTGCTATAGATGGTCTATTACAACGGTTCCAACCGTTGAGAAAGGTTATTGGTACTATCAGCACAGTTTAGCACCTGAACCGTTGCATTTGTCCAAAATCTGTTACAATAGATGTTTCTTTGGCAACGTTTTAGACGACCGTAACAATAAGTCTATCTATGGTAACGGTTTCTTGAAATTTTTTATTTATTGCAACGATTATGAATTCCCTCTACTTTTTTCCCCAAAATTTGGACGACTCCCGCTAAAAAGAGACCCACTTTAATTAATTTTCTATTATTTGTTATATTTAATAAAATAAGAGTACAAACCTAATAATACACTACATCCGATATAGTCCACTCAAAACGCCACTCACAACTCTCTCTCCCAAAAATCCTTCCTCGTTACCGGAGATTACGAGGAGAAGACGTTACCACCATCGGCGGCACCGGCGGTGTCAACGCTGGAAAATCTCCTTAAGGCTAATGCTCCTCTTGATAATCCGCTAGGGTTTCTCAAAATGGTGTTCGACTTCATTGGAAGAGAGTCAAATCTGTTCATATGGTGAAAGATAAGTTGAATACTAATCGAAGAGCCCTCGTCTTTGTTGTTCACCTTATTAATTTCTCCCTTCCTTGAAGTTGTGAGTATTTTCTGTTGAAGCTTTGAATCTATCTTAGAAATCTGTTAAGATATTTTTGTACTATAATTTACCCCTTTTTGCAATCAATTTTATGACGAAAACATAAAATTGCATCCTAATTTCATCCTGTTTTCTACTGTAAAAGTCGCACGATTTTCGCCTTTGAAGCAGAATAGTAGCAGGTTTCGCCGTCTTCTTGCCAAGGTAGAATATCCCCTAAGTATAAAATTTTCTTTTTTATTGCTGAATGTATTAAGAATAATTGAGTTCTTATTGTGTTAATTAGCATTATTGATGGTTATCTTGTTCATTCCAAAGTGCCCTTTAATCTGCGATAATTTCTGGAATATGGGATTGTTGTTATGGTTGATGTTAAATTGCTTAACCGTGATTTCTATTTCTAAGAAAATTTTGTGTGATTACCTCTTTCTATTAATTCTTGTTTTAGCTCGAGGAGATTCTCATCTATTGGATCCATATAGAGTCTTTGATCCAATAATAGTGTGATGAGCTAAATGTAGAGTATCAAAATATTGGGGATATCAGAATAAATAATTTAATAAAAAGAGAAAATTAAAAGAAATGTTGTCTTTGTTAATCAAAATTGTTGCCTTTGTTATACGTACGTAGTGCTATATTTTAACTGATTACTATATAATTTCAAGATTGGTATGTAGCCAATTCACCTTCACCATTGACTTAATATTTTCTTTTACTGTTGTTAGCTTTCTGAATACCATTGTGATTTTTCTTTTTTACAAATATTTATATGATTGCTTTGGTCTTTTGTGACTGAATTATTGGAAAGAATTCGGCTTATATGTGGAATAAGCTTTCAGCTTCTGTCTTTGAGTAACTTTATGTCAAATTCTTTGTTGTGCTAATCTGCTTTCAATTATATCTTCTATCTCTTTTTGGTTTCTTGAGCCCCTTTTAGTCTTTTTTAATATTTTCCCTTTTTTGGATATTCTTATGTTGGACCTTTTCTTTGTGAATTATTTTGGAGTTTTGTCTGATTTTTAATTTACTGCATTAGTTGATTGCAAAAGACTTTCTTGAAATAATTTCAGGTATATCTTTCTTAATTTAGTAGACACTGAAGTATGGACTAATGCATCAGTCCAAAAACCGTTAAAATGACTAGCTTCAAATGGAGAATAGATCGATAGAGTTCCGTAGTCTCACTTTAAGGATCTTCTTGAATATTGGAACTCCTATCCTGCCAAGGTAATTATATCCAACTTTTTGCCAACTTTCTTGAATAATTTCCTCGGCACATTCTATTAATTGTTGGGGGTCTTTGTCCTATATGGATCAGGCTTAGTAAAATTTCCTTGAAGCAATTTTATGAGTTTGTTCTTTAAACTCTACAGGAGATGTTCAAATACAATGACTAGTAGGATATGTTCAAATGCTTACTAGTAAAAGAATTAGATTGGCACTTAGACATCTAGACTGGAAGAAATCTTTTCACTTTATTAAGAAAGAAAACAAAAGTTCGAAAAAAAAGGAAGTAGAAGCTTTTCATTCTCAAAATACTGAAACATCCACCATGTGTCATTTCGAGATGTCCATATTAACGTGTCACTAATTCCTGTTTTAGTAATGATGTTAATGTATAACTAATATAAAATTATACATAGTTATTATGTATTCACTGGCTACATCTAAATCTTTAATTCACATGTGTGTTTAGTAAGTTGTTATATAAGTAATTTTCAATCAAAACTAAGAAAATCTATTCATTAAACATACAAACATAGTTGAACAAATTAACTCAAAGAAATTAAAAGAAACATTCTTGTTGGAACTTGGCTTCTGCTAGTTTTTGCCACTGGAGCACTTGACTCACAACCACACCCTAAATATAACGGAAACACCACAAACTTCTCCATTGATCTATCCTTCATATTTTCTTGTACTTATATTAGAAAAGAGTAATCCCAAAATGGAGAAAAAAAAGAAAAGAAACAAGAATCAAAGATACTACGAATAGTTGAAGAGATAAAGAGAGATATTAGGAGATAATGATTGGCTTAGTGAAGAAGATATAATGATATAAGATGTAGAAGAAGATGTGACAGTAAGACACACACACACAATGAAGAAGATTGGTGGAATGAGACATATGAGAGAGTGAGACAAGCCAAAAAGAGAATAATATGTGGGGATAGAGTAGTAGTTAGGTAGCTTTTTAGCGTTCCAGACACAATAGCCAACACTAATTGCTTGTTGCTTCCTTTTCTGTGGATGGTTAAGTTTCTAAACTTTTTCCTTTTGCCTTGTTCGTTATTTACAGTATTTCTCAACCTAATAAACAAAGAATAAGCCTTTTCTTTTTATCTCTCTTTTCCTAAATACCGTTTTGTTTTAATTGATCATGATTTGCTTCTAATTTTCTTTCACTATTAATTTGGGGTTTGGTACTAATATTTTATGAGAGCAAGATCATGAAATCTCCAAGAGTTATATTTAACTTGCATATTTAGGTTTCTAAGTTTGCTCTCATACCTCTGGTGAATCAAGGCAACTTTAATTTGGTGGATAGTGTTTCCTATAAGGTTATTAACTGTGTTTACTGATTTTGGGCTCGTTTGGGCTGACGATGACAAACTGCTTACCAGAATTTGAAACACAACTGTAACAAGTAACCCCCCGACCTATTGTCTCCCATTGTACCATTATGTGTGATGTTGCATGATGCCTCATTGGACCTTTGGCCTTGTCGTCCGTCCGGAGATATCGTAAAATCGGAAGGTAGCAATGGGATGTTAGTGGTATCTTCACCACTCATTGCAATATTGATGGCTGGCAATCTGTAGGGCTGTAGATCACTAGTGAACCTGATGAGTCTATGCAACTTTCTTGAAGTATCAACATGTTATTCTGGCTTTTATTATATGCCAGCATTGTAATTTAAATGAGTAATTTAAAGAGGAATAAAAGGAGAAGTAAACCCAATCATTTCATTATTTGTTAAATAAGATGGATTTTGAAAATTACCCAGAGCATAGAAATACAGTTCCCTGGGTGAGAGCCATTTGCAATGTTGCTTTTGTAATTATTATTCATTTATTGCATAACCCAGATTCCAGTATAATGTGATTGTGCTTTATATATGATTATGTCCCTTTTTTCTTGCCTTGCTCTTTATTTTTGGATCAACACATATAACCTTTTGAACCAGTACCTCTTTACTTTTTTCCCTGTTTCTTTTCATTCTCTAGTGAAGCATATGCTTGAGAGCTGAATCTGTACATTCATAAACAACATCCTGGAAAGCTAGTCTTCTTATTAACTGTTATGTAATTTATGGTGGCTTCTTGGGTGGCTACTGAAAGTTCAAACTTTCCAGGATATGATTTTGTTTTACAAAAGATGAAACCCATGTTCATTTTTTTACCCTTGGTTTTTTGGACTAAGAGAATTATAAGACCGGATTCTCTTGTAGGATAATAATTTTATTTATACTCTTTTGTAGGTGGAGTAGATGAAGAAATGGAAGACGGGGGCAGTGAAGATCTCGACCTTACTTAAGTGAAGTTTGAATTGTTGTAGATGCATGTAGCCTAGGAATGTTTGTTATCAACATTTTAAAACTTTTAACGCTTGAAATATAAAATGTATGTACTTGGTAACATTTTATCACGTTTATGGATATTGCTAGTTTGTTGGACAATTTGGATTATGAATAGTTTTATTTTGTTATTTTTATCAATTTTAGTGTTTTATAGTTTATTGTATATGTAAATATTTATTTACAACAAGGGTAATTTTTTGTTTTAATTAAACTGTTACAATAGTTAAAAGAACTGTTGCCATAGGACTTGCAAATTGTCCCAAAATAATCTATAAACCGTTGCAATAGGTAGTTCAAACCATTGCAATATCGTAAAAAAATTATGCCATATCTATAATAGTTGTAACGGTTTAATAGATATAGTAATGGTTATCCTCCATTGCATTAAACGTTATGGTAACGAAATTTAACCATTGCAGTTGATAAGAATAATTGTTCCAACAGGGAGAGGAAAACCGTTGCGATAGACCACACTATAGCAACGGTTATCTGAACCGTTCCAAGAACCGTTCCTTAAGCTCTATCGGCACGCGGGCTGATGTAACGGGCGCCAAACCGTTGCAGTATCTCTATGGCAACGCTTTTCCTATCTATTGCAACGGTTTTTCATGCGTTGCTATAGGCAAATTTTCTAGTAGTGCAAACACTAATTTATGTCTTTTTGACTTGGGCTCTTCTTGAGAAAGAGGGCTTGAGTATGGGAAATTAGTCCACCAAGGAATTGGGGCATATTCAGGAGATTGATAGCCCCAATTAAAGGGTTAAACCTAGAGATAGTGATACCCGACTTGAACCTCAATTGCTTGCACAAATTATCATACCCAATTGGTCTTGAGAAAGTCAATTAGGGCAAAATCACTCAAACTACCAAGAGGTATAGAGTGGGAAGTTTCATGCATTGGTTATATCGTAATCCCCAGCATGGCAATCTTGCCTTAGACTCGAGAACCCGTTAAGTATCCACCTAGGAGAAAGTCACTTCCCTAGTGTTTCCTTAACCATTTAGACAACCTTTCAAGTATCTTATTCTTAGCTTAATTTAGCATCTTATTAGCATAAAATTAGAAGTAATATCAAAACCAATGATGTTTGGAAGAGTAATTAAGAGCAATTACACATCTCTAGTCTAGATAGGAATCCAATTCCCATTTCTAGCTCCCTGTGAAATTCGATCCCGACCATCTCGGGTAAAAGCTGCTTCGACCACTTTCGCTACTTTGTAGTGGTGCAGGATTGGCTCCGATCATACGCACTTATCACCTCATGTACAAGACATCTCAATTATCAATAATACCAAATCCTAAAGGGAGTTTCCCCCACACAAAGTTAGACAAACCACTTACCTCGAACCGGCTCAAAATCAACCCGAAACCACATTCTTGCCACGAGTACTCGACTCAAAATGGACCAAATCTATTCAATTCAATTGCATAATATAAATAACAATTCAAGTAATTGATTCTACAAATAAATTCTAAGATAATACGCGAAATTAGGTAAAATGACCAAAACGCCCCTCGGGCCCACATTTCGAAATCAAGTAATATTTACATTTTCAGAATCCTCATACTCTCACGAGTCTATACATATAAAGAACACTGAAATCACAGTTCAATTGGCCCCTCAAATACCAATTTTAAGGTCTCTTACTCACAAGCCCTAATTACCCATTTTGCATTGATTTTTCCCTAATGTTTCACCACTAATTAGACCTTTAATCACATATAAACGAGTTATGAAGTCAATAGTATTACCTCCAAGTGATTCTCCTTTGGTTTCCTTCTTCGCGAACGCGGAAGGACCCTCGCATTCGCGACGCACAACTTCACTTGGGTCCAGTTTCCTTCATCACGAACGCGATGTCCTGGTCGCGAACGCGATGCACGATCTCCCCCTCCTTCGCGAACGCGGGAAAAACATCGCGAACGCAAAGCATTAACCTCCCCCCAGCCCCAGCTCCTCTTCCTGAACGCGAGACCCCACTCACGAACGCAAAGAAGGAAACCAGAACTGGGCTGCTGCAATTTTCTGCAATTTCTCTAAGTTCCAAAATAACCGGTTGAGTATCCGAAACACACCCGAGGCCTCCGGGACCTCAACCAAACATGTCAACCAATCCTAAAACATCATTCAAACTTGTTCCAATCTTCGGAATGCACAAAACAACATCAAAACACCAATTTAACATAGGATTCAAGCCTAAGAACTCCAAAGCTCTCAAATTACACTTTCGATCAAAAAGTCTATCAAACCTCGTCCAAATGACCTGAAATTTTGCATACACGTTACATTCAACACTACGGAGCTACTCCAACTTCAGGAATTCCATTGCAACCCCAATATCATAATCTCACTATCGAACTAGAAACTTCAAAAATTCAACTTTCGGCATTTCAAGCCTAAATTAGCTCCGGACCTCCAAAACACAACCCAGATATGCCCCTAAGCCCGAAATCACCCAACGGAGTTAACGGAAGCAACGGAATTCCATTCCGAGACCGTCTTCACACTGCTCTGACTACGGTCCAATTTCTAAAACTTAAACTCTCATTTAGGGACTAAGTGTCCCAAAACTCTCCGAAACTCAAAGCCAAGCATCCCGGCAAATCAAAATAGCATAAAAAACATGGGGAAAACACTTAATAGGGGATCGAAGCATTAATTCTTAAAACGATCGGCCGGGTCGTTATATCCTCCCACACTCATACATTCGTTCATCCTCGAAGGAGCATTGAGGCATACCCCGCCACTGAACCTTCGCTGATGCAATGTTCTTTGACCTCAGCTTTCTAACCTGCCTGTCCAATATTGCCACTGGCTCCTCAACATAAGATACATCCTTGTCCAACTAGACTGAACTGAAATCCAACATTTGCGACGAATCACCGTGATACCTCCGGAGCATCGAAACATAAAACACCAGATGAACTCCTGCTAAGCTGGGAGGTAAGGCAAGCTCATAAGCTACCTCCCCAACACGCCTCAATATCTCAAAAGAGCCAATAAACCTCGGACTCAACTTCCCCTTCATCCCAAATCTCATAACGCCCTTCATATGCGAAACCCGAAGCAGAACCCGCTCTCCAACCATATAGGAAATATCACGAACCTTCCGGTTTGCGTAACTCTTCTGTCTAGACTAGGCTGTATGGAGTCTATCCTGAATTACCTTAACCTTCTCCAAAGCATCCTGAACCAAGTCTGTGCCCAATAATCTAGCCTCACCCGGCTTAAACCAACCTACCAGAGATCTACACCACCTCCCATATAAAGCCTCATATGATGCCATCTAAATGCTATACTGATAGTTGTTGTTGTAGGAAAAATCCGCCAATGGCAAGAACTGATCCCAAGACCCTCCAAACGCAATCACACATGCACGGAGCATATCCTCAAGAATCTGAATAGTGCACTCGGATTGTCCGTCCGTCTGAGGGTGAAATATTGTACTCAACTCTACCTGAGAACCCAACTCATGTTGTACAGCCCTTCAAAATCGTGACGTAAACTGAGTACCTCTATCTGAAATGATGGAAACTAGAATACCATCCAGACGAACAATCTCCCGGATATAAATCTCTGCCAACCGCTTCGAAGAGTAAGTATTACACACAGGAATGAAGTGCGCAAACTTGGTCAGCCGATCCACAATCACCCAAATAACATCGAACTTTCTCAAAGTCCGTGGGAGCCCAACTACAAAGTCCATGGTGATCTGCTCCCACTTCCACTCCGGAATCTCTATCTGCTGAACCAACCCACCTGGTCTCTAGTGCTCATACTTTACCTGCTGATAGTTGAGGTCCGAGCTACAAATCTAACTATATCTTTCTTCATCCGCCTCCACCAATAGTGCTGTCTCAAATCCTGATACATCTTCGTGGCACCTGGATGAATGGAATACCGCGAACTATAGGCCTCATCTAGAATCAACTCCTGAATACCATCAACATTGGGTACACAAATTCGACCCTGCATCCTCAATACCCCGTCATCACCAATAGTCACATCTCTGGCATAACCATGATGAACCTTGTCCTTGAGGACAAGCAAATGAGGGTCATCATACTGACGCTCCTTGATACGATCAAATAAGGAAGACCGAGAAACCATGCAAGCTAGAACCCGACTGGGTTCCAAAAGAACCAATCTCACAAACCGGCTGGCTAGGGCCTGAACATCCATCGCCATGGGCCTCTCCGATGCTGGTAAATAAGCCAAACTCCCCAAACTCTTTGGCCAATGACTCAAGGCATCGGCCACCATATTGGCCTTGCCCAGATGATACAAAATAGTGATATCATAGTCCTTCAACAACTCTAAACACCTCCTATGGCGCAAGTTAAGATCCTTTTGCTTGAACAGGTGCTGCAAGCTCCGATAATCAGTATAAATCTCACAAGGAACATCGTACAAATAATAACGCCATATCTTTATGGCGTGAACAATGGAAGCTAGCTCGAGATCATGGACAGGGTAATTCTTTTCATATACTTTCAACTATCTGGACGCGTAGGCAATTACCCTACCGTCCTACATTTAAAACGCTCCAATGCCAATCCTCGAGGCATCACAATAGACAGTATAAGAACCCGAACCTGTAGGCAATATCAAAACTGGGAATGTAGTCAAAGCTGTCTTGAGCTTCTAAAAGGTCGCCTCACATTTTTCCGTCCACTAGAACGAGCACCCTTCTGGGTCAGCTTGGTCATAGGGGCTGCAATCGATGAAAACCCCTCCATAAAATGACGGTAGTAACCCACCAAGCTAAGAAAACTGCGGATCTCTATAGCTGAGGATGGTCTAGACCAACTCTCACTACCTCTACTTCTTCGGATCCACCTGAATACCCTCACTCGATACCGCGTGGCCTAAGAATGCCACGGAATCCAACCAAAACTCACATTTTGAGAACTTTGCATATAACTTCTTTTCCCTCAGAGTCTGGAGCACTGTCCTCAGGTGCAGCTCATGATCTTCCCAACTCCGGGAATACACCAGAATATCGTCAATAAAGACGATGACGAACGAGTCAAGATATGGCCGGAACACACTATGCATCAGATGCATAAAGGCTGATAGGGCATTGGTCAGCCCAA